TATATTACATATAATATATAAATAATATATTTATTATATTTATAATATAATATATATTACGATTATTATATATATATATTTTATATAATATATATAATATATAATATATTATATATAAAATTTATAATAATTGTTACATATAATATATAAATAATATTATATTATATATAATATTATATAAAGTTCTTGGATGGCATAATCGTAAATTCTTGGATAAAAGAATTTTATAATGATAAATTGAACAAAAAGTAACGCCGTCAGGGGGATTTGTAACGGCGTTAACGTAACAGGGAGAGTGTGCATGCAAAAGTATATTACAAGGGGGTATAGCGCAATTTTTAAAATACAGGGGGAAAACGCGCAGATTTAGTATATTACAGGGGGGTTTGGTGCCGGTTCTCGAAACCGGCAACCTATGGGCCGGTTGCGAGCTGGGCGGGCCCGTTGTCATGTCTAGCCACAGTACTATTTTATTTCTTTTTAAGGGCCGTACCGGTACGTGACTCGCCGGGTCGGTGAACCAGCAGTTCAGAACTGGTTCATAGTTTATTCTGGACCAGTCACGGGCCATGATGTTGAGGCCCGCCAACCCCCCGGGCCGGGGCACGGCCCGACATTTGGCCACTTCTATAAAAAGTTATAAGTAAAGCTTAGGTACTATGGTAAATAGTAGTGATAAATGATAATACTAGTAGTACTTTTACATCTAGCTACTAGCTAGGGTTTCATTGTACAAACCCCATAGTATAGTGACAAGTGTACAACCACACATATTTCAAAATGTCTGACTTCTTGTTTGTTCATACACTGTAAGTCTGCAAGACTGCAACTATATAAAGCTGTTCTTTTCGTTTTCTACTATGGTTACAGAATTACCAAATTTTGCTTTTGAATTCAATCTCCTTTTATTCAAAAATGTTACCACAAATACACATCATGTCACGTGATAAGAATTTGGATATAAACTTATAGGAAATCCACTTTCATCAAAATAGTTATCATCAAATTAACAATGTTCAACATATAAATATAAAGAACATAAATTACTTGAAATATATAGCTAATAATTTTTTTTTAGTTAATATTTTTTCCTTAAAAACGTTTTGCTACTAGAAGCAGAATTTTTGTAGATGTATTTTTTATTTTTTTTAATTTCTATTTTTGTTATCAGCATTAAAGATATATTTTTTTTTCTATTAGGTTAATTAATATGTTGGGTAGTAGAAATTAAATATATATATTTAATAGAATTGATAATATATTACTATATATATATATATATATATACATATATAATCATATGACCAAATGATATTCTATCTTAACTTTTAATAATGTACAATGAATAGTTCATACTATTTATATTTTTTAATTCATTAATATAACCTTAATTTTAGGGCTCAATTGTTCTCATCTTTATTTTATATATTGTATTAATTTCTCCTGTTCATGATGAGTTCACATTAATTAGTTAGTTAATTAATCCTCACAAAGTTTATGTGACCTTCAATTAGGTGCCCTTTTCATATGAAAGATGAAAGTTAGTTAATACTCACAAAGTTTATAGTTTATAATTTTTCCTCAAAAACATTTTGTTACTAAAAGAATAACTTTTTGTAGATGTAATCATATCGATATTAATAACACTTTTAAAGAAATCCACGTTTACCGGAGTATTTTCGTTTTGTACCCAAATATCCTTGCCGATATGGAGAGAAAAGTTTTCGGAAATGGCTTCCCCGTCCCACGACGTTTTGATTTTCGGTTCCATTTTAGTTTGAGTTAGACCAACCGAGCTGTGGTTTGCCGCTCATCATTTTGATTAGCGAGTGAGGGAACGGATTGTAGTTATCACTTTGTTTTTGTGTGCCGCAAAATAGTCGATGTAAAATCAATTTTGATCTATAAAATTTATTTACTGATAAAAAAAAAAGAACTTTTGTAGATAATGATTAATGCATATATACACAGGCATAATAGGCTTACTTATTTTGTAGGTGGAATTAAACAGTCAAATAAGTCAAAGCTTAATTAAAAAAAAAATCAAGATAAACGGATAATGATGATTTGTGTGAATAAGGCTATCTCAGGTATAACGGACAACTCTAGTTATATACAACGGACACGTGTTCAAGTAGTATTGGTTTTTTGAGATGCCAATGTGTGTACTATGGTTAAACTAGGGTTTATCCTTGGCGTCCCTTGTGTGTTGGCAGATTTGAGACAGCTTTCACGTTACTTTTAACGGTTATATTATTACGTCGGTGTTAAATTGTATATGAGGGAAAGTTTAATTCAATTTTTCTTAATTCAAAATTTCTAATATAATTTTAAAATGAAAAATGTAAAGACATTGCATTTATATATATATATATATATATATATATATATATCACTCAAATATTTACTATAATTAACGATTATTATTTATATCTTCTCACATCAAAATTAATTATTACTCTATATTTTCATATTTCATGCTAAAGAAATCATTAAATCTTCTAGTTAATTTTTCTTTTCATAATGTTTCTCTTAAATAATTCCAGTTGTGCCCTTAGTACCAATTCCTTGTCCAAATAAAAAAAAAAAAAATGATTATTAATTCGTAAGTAATACTCAAGCATGTTAGAGCAATAGAAGAGGAAAAAAAGTGGTGGAAACTACAAATTTTATTGTATGCAGTATGATTTTTTTTCCCCTTTAGTTAAGCTCTCTTAATAACTAATATACAATTGCAC